ACATATTACATCTAATAAATGTTGCACGACCACATATGGTAAGTCACGATGGTCAGTCCAAAATTATAAAGCGTTAATTATCGTCAATCACGAGTGTTTTTACTAATCATTTTTTTCGTGAAAAATAAGGTACAACTTACATTCTTAATTTATTTCATATTACCAATTTATTTTGCAGTTAAAAATATGTTTTCATGGCTGTGGGAGTAAATCTAATCCTCCAAAACATATAAAAGATCAGTGATGAATATTTTTACGGCATTTACTTGTTTTATCACGATGACCAATCCATACAGCAGATCGTATGGAATGATTTTTAAAATAAGTATTTTAGAAATTACGGAAGATCTGGTTAGTTGGATGCCCAAATTATGTAAAATATCTATTTTAAAACATACCATACTGATCTCGTTATCAATATTGTGAAGTTTGCCCTGTAAAAAAGGATTGTATAAAATTTGTCTAAAATTTGAGTTATGTATGTGCAAAATGTTTTAAATGGTGCCATTCTGTCTAATTTTTGTCCAATTTTTTAGTTTATTTCAATTAAGACATAAAAATAGACAGAATAGCGCTTTTTTAGACATTTTTCACACATGTAACAGATATTAGCGCTAGACAAATTTCATACAATCCCTTTTTATAGGGTTGTAGATCAAAAGAAAAAAAAGAGATGCCTACCAGTATAGCATCCACATGATTTATCTTTCTTATTGGCACAACAATTGACATTTCATTTTTCTGATCTACTCAATTTCTTGGAGCATAATAACACGATGCCAACTTCTACTGTGCCGATAAGAGAGATAAACCAAGTGGATGCAGAAATAAGCAAGTAGATCTCTGGCTATATGAGGCCCTTCGGACCCTCATATCATATAGTCAGGAATTTGCCTCTTATTCCCGCCATTGCGGGGAATATGAGGTAAATCCCGGTCATCGGGCCCGAGGGCCACTAGCAGGCCGAAGATCTACTAGTTTATTTCCCCATAGCGGCAAAATAAGGGTATTCTTCATTTTTATATGATGTCATGACGGGCTTTACGACTCATAATCACTACTTTGATCAATAAAAAAATCGAGCTTCTAGCAATCTTTGTTATTTTCTCGGTAACGCTTGTTATTTCCCCGGAAGTCTGGAGAAATAACAAACGTTGCTGGGAAATAACAAACATTGCAAAAACTCAATTTTTTACTGATTAAAGTAGTGATTATAAGTTGTAAACCCCTGTCATGCGATTATATAGAAATGTGTAATAAATGGTGCTTATTCACTTTTAATTTGATTGATTTAGTGGCGATGATTATAATAGTGGATGTATTTACCTTAAGTTATTCTATCTCTAAATTATCTGCCATTTCTCATTAATATTAAGTCACTTATTTAGGTTAATTTAACGGAAATTATAAAATAATTGTTAATCAAGTATTCAAAAGCAATGTATGCACTTCTTATCAGTTTTATTAGTTTATTGTCCGTGCTGATTTGGTTGATGAACAATCTTTTATTCAAGTCGATTTAGTCATTATTATTTATTAATCGAAATGTTTGAAATAATCTATGTATCTATTATTAATTTTTTATTCGTGCTGATTTATGATTTTTATAACTTGAATTCTGAAAATTATATACAAAATATTGATTGCATATAAATTTTAGTCTTATCTGAAATAAAACTGTATAGTGCACTTGCAAAGTTATCTGCTAAATGCTTTTCCATCAATTTGGTCTTTAATTTAAAATGAAAAAAAAAGAATAAAGTCAACATATATTAATAATATGTCAAATCACTAGAAGTATTCGAATGTTCAATGAATATTCAATGAATTTATCCGGATATTAAAAAATCAATTTTGTCTGGCCTAATCTATCAATGGATCCTTGTTACGCGAGAGACTTATCACGTGATGTCTTTTATGGTCTCCTATTGGTAGACATATATGCATTAATTTAAATATTGTTATTTGGTTCTTTTGACCCGCCCGGGCTATGTTTTATATATATAAAAATTAAAATTTCTAACTTAGCTTTTGTAACCCGGCCGGGTTATGAGAACCAAAAAATTAATTTTATATGGCCTAGTATTTATTTTTAACCAATTTTCTTTAAATATTATTTTAATTGGATTCGAAATTATTTATGTGCTAATAATTTTGCCAGTGCAGTATAATTTTGAAGAATTATTTGTAATAATTCAATAATTTTATTTGCATTTAAAATTTTCTGGTTCTTTTTCACTATCTGAAGTTAATTTCTTAATCTAATCAATAATTTTTCTTTTAATAAATATTCCAAGTACTAGGCTATTCCTACGGAAGTCAGGAGTTCCCGGTAATAGTGCCTGACGAATTATATTCTAATTTTTAAACTCATTAATTTACATTAAATCAAACGAATATGACAAAATTAAAAGATTTGTAATACCGTAAATAATTTTCCATGAAATTAATTGAGTATTATTTATCCATTAAGTTTATGCAAATACTGTATAATGGCTTAAGAGATTCTTTAAGCTAGCTACTAAATGCAAATAAAATAAAATTAAAGGATATTTACAATAAACATTCATGAATTTAAATGTTTATATTAGCTACTTGAATTAATATAAGATATTAATCCTATCTGCTAAATTAATCAAAAATTTTTTTTACTACTTAGTAGGAATACAATAAAGTTTGAACAAAAAACTTGCAAATAAGAGTTCTTATTCATTCAATTATTTTTAACTTTACAGGATGAAATTTCTAATAAACCGTTAGAAATAAATTCTTTAGATAAAACTTATTGAATACAAAAGCTATTACAAGTTCTCATTCGGGTAAACGAGCTAATGATGTAAAATAAATAAACCATGAATTTAATGATTGATTCCGAATTTACCCACATTCATATAAGGTGAAACCTAGGGGTTTCACCAAAAAAGTTTTAAATGGAGAAATGACGAATTGACGAAACTAGCGAAATTAAAAATTCGCAAACTAACAAACGAAAGTTGAAAACTACATAGTGAATAAAGGCTAAAGATAAAACTTACCAAGCTTAATAAAATTAAATAATTAGTCAACTTAATTTATAAATGTATGCTTCTTTCTATACCAAACCGTCTATTTCTGGAGATTTTATTCATTATAAAGTTTTTTTTTAATAATTAAGCTTTTAAACTTCATCGGATGTAATAAATTAAGAAACGAAGTTTCTTATATGATTGATCATAATAGTTAAACCCATTATTTATTAAAATATTCAAAATTATTAAACTATTTTGGCCAAAATTTTAGAAAATCAAGTTGCTACTTTCAATTGCATATATATATTGAATAATAATTTTAATTGTGAAATATATATATATAGAAATTTAAAAAATTCTTAGGTTATTTTCATGCTAATATATTTAATAAAACAGATAGATAATAATATGCTAGATAAATTCTATATTATTTCAACGCTTAGCGTATCCTTGATATTCAAGCATAAATTTTATAATTTACCTTGTAAACCAAAATAATTTAAAAACTGTCTAAATTAATTCCACGACTGCGACCTCTACGTCCTCGCTTTCTCCGCGACCACGTGCACTTGAACTAGAACTCATCCTTGACAGAGTCTCTTTTTGTCTGCTGTTATCAATTTTATGTGAAATTGCCTTCTTCACATTCTAAAGAAAAGTACATGGAATTTTTATAAATTATTCAAAATAGTTATTGTAAAAGAATATTTCTTTCTTGCCGAATTGTATATTGATATGCATCATAAATATTCGCAGCTAATAATGACTTTGGAAATTTATCACGAATAACATCATCAGGTACCCAAGTTGGCCAACAATCAATAAAGGTATCCCCAGCTAAATAATCTGCAAGTACCTCATCAGAATTATACATTTCTGATGTTAAATATCGAAACATGAATCTCTTCAAAACTATTGCAAAAGCTCTATGTGGAATTTTAAGTTTATTTATATCACTACCACCTGTGCCATGCGATTGCTCAAAATCAACACCCGCGTTAATTTCATTTTTTAAATTTTGTTGCAGCTTTACTTTATATTTATCTGATAGATATTCAATTTCTACATCTGCAACTATTTCTTCAAATAATTCATATAATGCTACTGTATGTTTTAATCTTAACCCATTAATTATTTTTTGAAATTGAGGAGTTGCGTTTAGTGCTGATAATCTTTCCCATTTATTTATATAATCGCTGATTTCCATTTCACAATCTCCTGAAATTCGTTTCAAAAAACAAAGTAATATTTCAAGTTTTGACAATAGTTCAGTGGGATTATCAAAAGTAGAAACCATATCGATGGCATTTAGATCGCCAAAAGTAAATCTGGATGAAGTATTATAAGTGGCCGTGGTGGAAAACCCAAGTTTTTCTGGTGGAATTTGTTCTTGAGGAATTAACTCTCTGATTTCACTCAAAATTGTTCGAGATGTTGTAAATAGTTCTTGATGATATGAAAACACATCTAACCAAAGTGATTCTTTTTTGTTAAGATGAGTTTATTAAAAAGTAATGAATATGCTAATTCTGCTTCAATTTTATGTAGTTCATATTGAATTTCTTGCCCGTGACCAAGCTCAAGATTACATTGACTATAGGAAAGTAATTTAGGATTCCATTCATAATTTATAATATTTTTAGAACGTGCATCAGACAGTGCTAATGATTCTATATAGTAATGAGGCTCATGACGTTGTGTATTGTTTATAAATTGTCCTTCTAAAAATCTCAATGAAGAACAACCAGGTTTAATTGCTAAAACCTTTTGCAAAAATTCATTTTGTAAATTTGCTAAAAGTTCGATTGCTCCACATATATATAATGATTTATCTCTTTTTTCAAACAATGCATAAACCAAAGGAAGGCTGCTTTTCATTTCTGGCATCTGAGTTGTAAACTCATGATTTTCAAATTGTACGACATGTTCCCTTACAGAATTCCATGCTTCGGCAAAATTTTTAAAAACTTCATAAAGATTTTCTGGTGATTCATTGTTTCTAAGAAATTGTTCAAACGTAAGACTGCGCGCATCATTCCTTTTCAATTTATAACATAGCATTGAAGAAAATATCTTTGAGAATTTTACAATTGGTACTAGATTTTTTATCAATGCCAATTGTTCTTGATATTCAAAGAACAATGATAGAAATGGAAATTCAGTGGCAAAGTTCGGATACCCTACACAATATGTTTGTAAATTTTCGAAACTTGCTTTACCAATCCGTCGCCAAATTCGTGGACGAAAATTAAGTTGATATGTTTCGTCAACGTCCAAGGTTTCACTAATCTCACTTTCGAGTGTGCGTTCATTATTTTTAATTATTTTTTGAAAATCTGTTGCGGTATGGTGAGCATTTACAACTTTTGAGTTTATGTAACGTTGAGCAAATTCATTTTCCCAGGCTCGTCGCTTTTCAACTGTGTCTAATCTTATTATTGCTTCATTTGGATTTTCGGATATAGAATATAAAATTGAATGCAGTACCAATGACAATGTTTCATCATCGCAATCAAACAAGCGTGTCAATATTTGCCAATCATTCTCTATATGACTTTGACAATAAGCTAAAGGGTCTTGAATTATTTTGTTGTTCTCGTTATTCTGTTGTGGATTGTTAAAAAATTCATATCGATCTGCATCCGAAGCAGCGGCAATAAGTATATGAACGAAAAGATGCAATATACGGTAGGAAACTGCTGTTAAATCGCGAAGACGATAATTAATATGCTTTCTGCTTTCAACAGACTCATAAACATAGCCTAACTGAGCATTAAGTTGCCTGTCACTTTGATTGGCTGTATAATTTAATCCGCCAACAGGATTTCCACATCGTGTCATTAATGAAAATGACATATTTATAGCTGCACTGACATTCATAACTAAGGTCGCTCTCAAGCGTCAATCTCAATGGATTAGCAAGTGATCGTAATAGTGCTAAAGCATAATTATATTTACAAAAAACTTTTGCCGAAAATTTGATATGCAATTTATGACATAATTGTAATCTTCTCAAGCATCAATTTCAATGTGATTAGTGAGTGATCGTACTAGTGCT